GTAACCATTCAGCGAGATATAGGAGTTTGTTTTAAGTAAATGATTCCTTAATATTAACAAAAAATGATTTTGGAAAATTATTTCATTTATAAGAAGGGAAAAATGTCTTGTTACAAGTGAAATAATCTGCCAATGGAACTAATACATTTTCATCAAACTTTAAGGACACCAGTCGATCATGTAGACATAGAGTTTAGTTCAATTCTTTGATTTTTCTCGAACAGGCATTTCAAAGATTCAAAGCAACATAAACATTTTTCTCTTAAAGTATTTCTCTGACTGGAATAGCAGACATATTTCCTCCATATCTTCCTTGTATCACAGTAGGTCCAGTCTGTTCGCATATTTCTTTACCCATCCCTCCTACTTATGGGTGTAACCAACAAAAGCTGACAGATAATGTTGTCAGAGTTTCTGCCCAGAGTTCAGTTTGTGTTTTAAGGACGTGAAACTGACACAGTGACTGCCACTGAGAGGAGAAATGGCAGAACAGGCAGTTCAGATGGACCGAAACACCTTCGACTGTTCGATCTGTCTGGATCTACTGACCGAGCCGGTGACTATTCCCTGTGGACACAGCTACTGTATGAACTGCATTGTGGGTCACTGGAATGAAGGAGTCTACAGCTGCCCACAGTGCAGGAAAACGTTTACACCGAGGCCTGTTCTGGAGAAAAACATCATATTAGCAGCTGCAGTGGAGCAACTGAGGAACAATCGACACCAAGCTGCTGCTGCTTCTGCTGCTCCTGCTGATCACCGCTATGCTGGACCTGACGATGTGGCCTGTGATTTCTGCTCCGGAAGACAACTGAAAGCCATCAAGTCCTGTTTAATCTGTCAGGCCGCTTACTGTGAGGAACATTTGGAGCCTCATTATGAAGATTTCTATCTAGAGAATCACATTCTGGTGGAGCCGGTCAAGAACCTCCATCAGAACTCTTCTTCAGCAGATATCCTACATGGTCTGTTATGGCCTGAGGTTGAACTCTACACTGATCACTGTATTTTACTGTCAGAACCAGAACCAAAGACCAGAGTGGACTTCTTAAAATATTTACGAGAAATCACACTGGACCCAAACACAGCACACCCTCAGCTGGTACTATCGGAGGGGAACAGGAAGGTCACTTTTGCACGTCAACAGCAACAGTGCTTCAGTCACCCAGACAGATTCACTGAATGGTTTCAGGTTCTGAGCAGTGAGAGTCTGACTGGACGTTGCTACTGGGAGGTGGAGTGGAGAGGGAAGGGGGTTTCTGTAGCAGTCGCATACAAGAACATCAGCAGAACAGGAGGTGTGAATGAATGTGGATTTGGACATAATGATAAATCCTGGGCTTTACTTTTTGACATAAGTAGCAATTCGTTTTGGTACAACAACATCAAAACCCCCATCTCAGGTCCAGTTTCCTCCAGAGTCGGAGTTTATCTGGATCACAGCGCAGGTGAGCTGTTCTTCTACAGCGTCTCTGAATCCATGACTTTGCTGCACAGAGTCCAGACCAGATTCACTCAGCCGCTGCTGACTGGAGTTAGGATGTACAACACGGCACTTTCTGCTGAGTTCTGTGAACCCATAGAAACATTATTCACTTAAATCTCATCACTTTTATTGTTGTTCGATATCAAATGCACAGAAATGAGTTTATTCTGACATTTATGTGCGGACAGTTTTTTTTCTGTATCCATGTTGAAAATAGTTAAACCATCTGATCATTTTTGATTTTGTTGAGCCCTGACACACATGAAACAACAGATATTGTCTAATTAATCCTTCAGGCTGCTGACAGATTTTGTTTGTATTTCCTTTTAACTCATGTAAAGCAATTTGAATTGCCTTGTTGCTGAAAATGTGCTATATAAATAAAATTACCTTACCTTAGCTTACCTTACTTTACCTTAATTATAGACTTGAGTTTATTTTATGTGTTGTGTTCTTGACATTTTTTTTGTGGTAAACCGAATAACACTCATGTTGTTTCATTGTCTAGAATCTCTCTGTGATGGCACACTGCCACCTACAGGATAGTTTGTTATTACAAGACACAGAATCCAATAATTGTGATTATGGATTAAGGAGAGTGGTGCAGGTGGTAGAGCTGTTGCCTTGCAGCAAGAAAGTCCTGGGTTTGATTCCCAGGGTCTTTCTGCATGGAGTTTGCATGTTCTCCCTGTGCATGGTGGGTTCTGTCCAGCTTCCTCCAAAACATGACTGTCAGGTTAACTGGTTTCTCTAAATTCTCCCCAGGTGTGTGTACATGGTTGGTTGTCCTGTCTGTCTCTGTGTTGTCCTGCGACAGACTGGCAACCTGTCCAGGGTGAATTCCACCTTCACCTGGAACGTTAGCTGGAGATCAGCACCTCCTGACCTAAGGGACAAGGGTGTACAGAAAATGGATGGATTTATTAAAGAGAACTTCTGACACATTTCTGTTATACCTTCATCAATATTAGTTATGAATATCTTCTGGATCACCATAAATAAACTTCCTATTTGTCTAATTCATTGTGAGATTTTGTGTCTATTTATTCAACATTTTAGCTGCAAACAGAGTTTTTGAATTAAAAATGTTAATTTTGTCATCTTTCATTGTATAAATCAATACTATTCATACTTACACTAATTAAAACTTGTCTTATTTTGTAATATTATTTGTTATATATATTTAAGCAAACTTTTCACTAAATATGTTGATAAATACTAATCTGGGTGTGTTGCAGTTAAAGAACTCCAGACTTAATTATATAAAAAAAAATTCTTTATGAATCATCTCTTCCAAAATATTTTCAGTCTTAAGAAGCTGAAATGTTCTTTGTCTGTCTGATGATGGTTGAGGATCAATATGAATCATATAAAAGTCCTGAAGGGAAAGTTTGTTTCCAGAAGACTGAAATTCCCTCTCTGTAACTCACAGTGTTTGTTTCTCTGTATGGTGGAAAATAATACTTTAATTTGTATAAATGGAGGCAGTTCAGGCTGGAAGATGAGGAGTTGGAGCTGAAAAGATGGGAAGTGTGAGGAGATCCTGGAAATCTGATCCAGGTTTTTATATTTACAGTACAGAAAAAACACACAAATACAGAAAGAATCAAAAATGAATTTTATTTAGAGATTAAAAACACAGATTAATTATATGTAAGTAAAAATAGTAAAGCAATACTTAACAATTTCTCTACACCATGTACACAATTGTCCTGTAGAGGGCAGCATCCCGCCAAAACCACAGCTAAAATCTGCGTGACTACGGCAGCCCCCATGACTGTTTTATTCTGATTTGTCCAAAATCTTTTGTGCTAAAAGCAACAATCATAAACGTTCTTTTGCTGATCATCTTAAAGAAGAACGTCAAGAAATGAATAGATTCAACAAAACCAGAAAATCAGATTTTAAGAAAAACAATGGTCATCTATTCAGTCTATTGATTTCTCAGAACTTTAGACATAAACTCACAATGATCATAAAAAAGAAAAACAACAAAAATCAGAATCAAACTCAATGATCCTTTAGTATATCTTGACTACTTGGCTTTCCAAAACTTTGCAGAACCTCCAGGAAACACAGAAACCCCAGCATGTAGCGGCTCAGTGAATCTGGTCTGGACTCTGTGGATCAGAGTCATGGTTTTAGAGACTCTGTAGAAGGACAGAATACCTGCTCTGTGGTCCAGGTACACTCCAACTCTGGAGGAAACTGGACCTGAGACGGGGCTCCAGATGTTGTTGTGACCAAATTTAGAAGTATTTTTATAACAAGAAAATGCCCAGGATTTGTCATTATATCCAAATCTACATTCATTCCCATCTCCTGCTCTGCTGATGTTGTTGTATGCGACTGCTACAAAAACCCCTAAACCGCTCCACTCCACCTCCCAGTAACAACGTCCAGTCAGACTCTCTTTACTCAGAACCTCAATGAAGTGAGTGAATCTGTCTGGATGACTGGGATAAAACTGATACTGATCCATCACCGTAACCTTCCTGTTCCCACCTGACAATGCCAGCATTATGTTAGCCGTGTTTGGATCCATTGTGATTTCACTTGAATACATTAAGAATCCATCTCTGGTCTTTGGTTCTGGTTCTGACAGTAGAACATCCACCTCAGTGATTTTCAGTGAGATGTTTGTCCATGAGTCTCTCAGGACGTCCTGTAGTTTCTCTCTGAGCTCTGACACAGCTGCTGTCACGTCCTCAAAGTGTCTCAGAGGACGGATGTTGATGCTGGATGAGTGTGTCGACTCACTGAGCGCTGGCAGTGAGGGGTAGTTGAGGAGAAACTGGTTGTGATCCTCTGTGTGTGAGAGCTGCTCCAGCTCAGCATCTTTCCTCCTCAGCTCAGTGATCTCCTGCTCCAGCTTCTCCTGAACATCTTTGACTCGACTCACCTTAGTTTCCTGCTGGGATCTGATCTGCTGCTTCACATCAGAGCTTCTTTTCTGGAGGAGACGGATCAGCTCAGTGAAGATCTTCTCACTGTCCTCCACTGTTTTATCAGCAGAGTGATTGATGGCCTCCACCTCCTGCTGAAGCAGCTTCACATCTTTCTCTCTGTCCTGGATTCTCTGCTGGATGTTTCCTCGTCTCTCCTCCAGCTCTCTCTGCCTCTCAGCTCTTTCTGCTGCAGCTGACACTGTGTTGTGGCCTTTATGTTCATCCACAGAGCAGAGATAACAGATACACTTCTTATCCTTGCGGCAGAAGATATCAATCACCTTACCATGCGTAGAGCAGATGTTCTCCTGGAGGTTCTTGGACGGCTCCACCAGCTTGTGTTTCTTTAAAGGAGCCACTTCATAATGAGGCTGAAGGTGTTTCTCACAGTAAGAGGCCAGACAGAATAAACAGGACTTGATGGCTTTCAGTTTTTTCTCAGTGCAGAAATCACAGGCCACATATCCAGATCCAGCAGAGCAGAGATCAGCAGGAGCAGCTTGGAGTCCAGTCTTCTTCAGCTGCTCCACTAAAGCTGCTAATATGGTGTTTTTCTCTAGATCAGGCCTTTGTGTGAAGATTTTCCCACACTGAGGACAATGATAGTTCTTCTTCTGCTCACCTTCATCCCAGAAGCTTTTAATACAGTTCATACAGTAGCTGTGTCCACAGGAAGTCGTCACCGGATCCGTCAGTAGATCCAGGCAGATCGAACAGGAGAAAGTTTCTCTGTCCAGCTGAACTGTTTGCTGCGCCATTTTTCCTCTCACTAACAACGACTGTGTGAGTTTCACTTCATGAGAACAGAAACTAGTTTGAGCTCTGAGCTACCAATCAGGTTTCAGTGCAGAGAGGCAGCAGCCAATCAGCTTTCACCTTCAGCATGTGTTGGCTCCACCCAGTTTCAAGTTTCAGATCAGGAAGGGAGAAAACAAGGAAACCTGGAAATAAAGAGGAGCTGCTGGTTTTAAATGCAGGAAGAAAAAGGAGGATTTTCATGGACTGATTCCAGGAAGAGGACTGGTTTGAGATTAAAACAATAAACAATTTTATTCTGTTCAGTTCAGTTCAGAAAAGTGTATCTATAATTTATTTAACATCAGATAAGATAAGAAATCTTAAATAGAAACTCAGAGTAATGGTGCTAAAGAACAAACAGAAATGGTTTAAATGCTTTGCAATTTGAATTAAAAAAAATCTGAATTTGATTTTCTCGAGATTTGTAGATATTAACTTGCAATTAATAAATCAATAAATGGCAGAAAGATCCTTTCCACATCAGCCAGTATTTCCAGGAATGTGAAAATAAACATATTAAAGACAATCCTGCTGCAAGGATCAGCCAGGATCCTGGGAGACAAAATAAATCACAAATAAAG